AGGTTCAGCACTAAATATTGCTCCATTTCCTTTAACTTTTTGTTTCACTAAGGACTTGAGGAAAGATGAACATTAGGGATGATTAAGAAGACTTTCTCAACTCATAAAGTTCACTGACTTTACAAAGTCCCCGGTGGAGTTTCTTAGAGTTTACAAGGTCAAAGGAAGCAGATTAGAATTTTGTGCCAATACAGTCTTTCCTATGGTTAGTCCAATTACTGAAAAGGAACTAGAACACAAAGAGGTAATTTGACTTATTTATAATCACACAGTAAGTCACAAGACAGATAAAGATAACATCTAAGGCTCTTGGTTTCAAATATAGTGCCACTTCAATAATTTAAGTTGAATCTATATGAATAGGGGGCTCTGGTGGCGTAATGACTAACTGCTAACCAGAAGGCTGGCGGTTCAAACCCACCGGCCACTCCTCAGAAGGAAGATTGGGCAATCTACTTCCATAGAGATACCGCCTTGGAAACCCAAGGAGGTGTAGCTATGAGTAGAATCGACTCGATGGCAGTGAGTCTATACTAATCAGTTAGTTTTGTAAACTAATATCAAGTTTGTACTTGGTAAATGTAGCACAGTGCAGTGAATTACTTAATATGGCATTTCTAGTCATGGTCTTTGTTACCGCCATCAGATGACTGGGTGGGACTATGCAAATATAAGGTGCTTGTGGTACACCAAGGGGGTTGGATAGCTTGTTAATAATGTGAATAAGGAGCATGGCACCCTTGTGTAGGTGGGACTGTGCAAATAAGGTGAACAGAACCCAACCTTCTTTGAGGATTGGTCAGTCTTGCCATCAGCTAGGCTTAAAATGAGGCATCTCAGAGGCCGAAAAGGGGGATCTCACCACCATAAAGATAGAAGAGACAGGAGTGGGAGCATGACCTTTGGACCTGATATCCCTCCACTGAACTTTATTTTTTCTTTTATTGTGATTTGGGTGAAAATTTACAAGGCAAATTCACTTTCCATACAGCAGTTCACATATACTTTGTCTCATGACATGGACCACAATTCACCATAATGCAACAGCTCCCCTCCCACTACCTCCTGACAGTCACCTCTTCCCTATGTCCATCCCTCCATGCACTCCTGCCCCAAGCTGTGTCTCCCTGTGCATAGACACAGTCCTTCTTTCTCCCATAACTGTTCTCTCCAAGGAGTGTATCTACCTCAAGTAAATGTTCAACTCATATGCCTGTCTTTTGCTTGGCTAGAAGCCACCAGTGTGGGTTCAATTCCAGACCCAAAAGGCAGCTAGGGGCCATAGTCTCAGTGGTTCCACCAGGCTCTATCAGACCAGCAAACCTGGTCCCCTTTTTTTTTCCAAATGATTTTGAGTTTTGTTCCACATTGTTCTCCTTCTCTATTCAGGATCTCCTACATAGATCCCCCTCCGAGTGGATGACAGTAGTAGCTGGGCACCATCTAGTTCTTTTGGTCTCATAGTCATATAGGTTACAGATCGCATGGTGTACCAGTCGCTAGGACTAATTGTTTCCATGAATCTTTGGATTTCTTCATTCGTCGTTGCTCTAGACGAGGAGGCATCCATCATTGCATCTAGATGGCTGCTTGCAAGCTTTTAAGATCCCAGTTGCTACTCACCAAAGTAGGAGGTGGAACAATGTTTTGTGTATGTAGTATGTTATGCCAACTGAGCTTGATGTCCCGTTACTATGATCCCAAGCCCACAGGTTCAACTACTCGGTCACTCTGGATACCTGGCTGTGGCCAAGAAGTGACTACAACCTTGTCCCTTGTCAGCTCTACTATACACCTGGGAATTCAGATCATACAAATACACTTATAGGACCATTGTCTGCCAACCCTATACATGGACTTGGGTATACTCTCTACTGCATAGACATACCTAATAGTTCAGTCTGTCCACCCATCTATCCACCCATCTACCCATGTTTGCATTCACTGACAACGCAGTACTGTATGTGCAAAATGGTTCATCTTTGTTGTCTGTACCCCCCATGTACCTCTCTCTGTCTTCCTCTTTCTCAATGCCACCATGTTGATCACTCACATTTGGTACACTGCCCTTGTCTTCATCCAAATCAATACTTATCTCTACCTATCTAACAGTGTTCCCTCTCCTCCCCTCCCACCCCTGGTAACAAACAAAAAAAAATTTCCTTCCATAGATAAACCTTTCCTTGATTTTTACAATAATGGACTAGTACAATATTTGTCCTTCTGCCTGCAGTGAACTTTGATCCAGGAGACAGAGAATTGTGACACAAGAGATAACCAGGCAGCAGAAACAAGAGACTGGCATGAGACAGAATGGTAGGCTTCTCAGCTCATGGAGTGAGAAGGCTGAATGCCTTTGGGCAGGAGCTTGCTGGCAGAATGGGGTGTCTCTCTGGGCACCTATCAGCAGAACTAAAAGAGCTTTGTAACACTTGTCTGAGCAGGGCAGAGGCCAAGGGCCAAAGAAAGAAGTATGCCTATAGGCATGGCCGAGGGGCGGCTGATCAAAGAATTATGTCCTGATCAAAGAATTGTATCCTGAACATTCCTGATTCTGAATTGTAACCTGTTACTTCCCAATAAACCCCATTAATTGTGAGTATTGTCTGTGAGTTCTGTGTAACTGTTGCAATGAATTACCAAATCCAGGAGAGAAGTAGAGAGTGCCATGGTAGGGATAGTTGTTGTCAGAAATGGTAAAAAGGTCGGGGGGTGGCAGCATGTCTGACCTTACCTTCACAGGAATCAGCCCTGAGCTATTGATCTTGATTGCCCTTCCTCCTTGTTAAGTTAGAGGAGCTCAGACAGGGACCCCACAACATTTTTGCATGGAGTTTTACCTTTTTAGAGCCATCGCCTAAGTTGTCACCTCTCAACAAATTAAGAAACGATAGTTACAACTCACTGGGCTCTCTTCTCTGGAGACCTGTCTCTACTGAAGAGTGAAGTTAGAATGTGGCTGGAGATCATGGGCCTTCCTCTCATATCTCACTCAGGCTTTTATATGAGGCCAAGCTTTTCAGCCCTACAACACCTTTTAAGTTCCTCCAAATAAACTTCCCACCTTTTCATACTAAATTTCCTTGTTCTGAGGTAGAAAATGGAAAGTAGGGAAAAGGCAAGGCTCGAATCTTGCCTGAACTATAGAAACACTATTTTCTGGTACAGAAACATTCTCTTAACCATCCTATGGCCAGCTGCTCTTTGAAAGAATGTTTTGGGACTTCACTGATTTTTTCTTTTTGTTACTGAAGGAGAATAATAATTTTTTTTTTAAATCTTGTAGTGAAAAGAAAAATCCTAGTCTTTTTGTTTGTTTTTAAAGAAACCTATCCACCCAGCGGGAGCTCTGGTAGCATAGTGGCTAAGACACTTGCCTGCTAACCAGACGGCTGGCAGTTCAAACCCACCAGCCACTCCTCGGAAGGAAGGTTGGGCAATCCTACTTCCGTAGTGACACTGCCTCGGAAACCCAAGGAGGGGTCGCTATGAGTTGGGGCCGACTCAACAGCACATAACAACAACATCCACCCAGCTGAAAGCCATCAGTTAGTTATGTAGGGAGGGTGAGGTCTGGCATCTGAACCCCAAGGAAAGGACAGCTCCAAGCTGGGTCCAGGGCCAGATGATCATCAGAGTTCTAGCTTTCTTAAAGTGTCAAGGGGCCACAGAGGGCCACTCTCTCTGCCACACGTTGTAGTTATTGTTGTGTGCTTTCAAGTCCATTTCAACCCTGCAGGACAGAGTATCCTACTAATAAAAATTAGTATAAATAAAGCTAACACAATTAACCAATAAAAAAAAGATGAAAGTGTATCTGGAAAATACAACACAAATCTACGTAATATTAAGTGAATAAACTGAGTCACCTGGTTGGTTCCCACCCTTTCAGACATGGCAAATACCTGAATGAGAAATGAGCAAATTTTCTCTGATGATTTTTATAATTAACCTGCTCATCATTAGGGATTTAAAACCTACAATCTAGAAAGACCCTCCATGGAACCATGGTCTCAGAATTCTACTCTCAGAGCACCAAGGTATGGATTGCCACAAAGCACATTCTAGAAATAGGAGGTTGGCAAAGGTCACTAGCTCCTATGTGGTTTGCATGAGTTTGTCTTTATCATCCCATTGCATGAGAATCTCTCTCTGGAAGGAATCAGGTCAATAGCACCACACACACAGCTATTCTGATGAGAAAAGCTTTATATGGAAACACAATGAATTAGAACACGATAAACAAAGAAGGAAGCTCAGGCTCGGCCAGGAAAGCTACTACAAGGAACAAACTTGGAACTATTCAGGAGTGGTGTCAAACATTAACACCATATTTACAATTCTAATTCAGAACCTGGTCCTTTTTAAGTGCAAGAGGTTGGAGGAGACACCATGCATGAAATTAAAAAAAAAAAAAAAAAAGATATATGGACACTTAAACTCCCACATTCCCATGCATCTTTTGCCTGTTCCCCCCCCCCCCACAAGGAACAAATCAAAGGAAAAGTGCAGCCACTACATGTACTATGGACTTAGTACAGAAGCCCACAGGTGGGCTTAGATTCAAGGAGGCAGACTTTATTATTGCCCTTAGCACTACTCACCGCTGACAATTTACTGAGCAAATGCTTTGGACACAGGCAGAACATACACAAGAGGCAAGAAAATACATGGCTCACTTAACTTATACATTCAACACAAGGACAATGGTTACTTCAAGTACTTGGTCCTTCACTAGGTTCTCAGCAGACTTCTAACCTGCAGCATCAGTGCTCAGTCAAGCTGTGAGGCACAGAGGAAAGCAGTTCTTTGATCCAGCATGCACTGGGTCAGTCACTTCATCCAAGACAGTCACACATGCCAGCCTCAAGCATGTCCTCAGGGGCATGCAGCTGTTTGCTCTGTGGAGAGAAGTTTGGGCTTTTTCCCTCCCCAGATTCTCCTGGTTGCTGAAGCCAAGCTCGCCACCATTCCCTGCGGGCCCAAGACAGCTGCTCCACTGTGTGCATGTAATTTACTGTTCCGCTGCTGCTGGCTCGTCCCCGGCCTCTGGCTTCTCAACCTGTGACTCTGGAGGAATCAGATACTGCACCTCTTCTGTGCTGATGGCTACTTTATCTGGCTGGAGCCACCTCTTGAAATGTTCCAAGGTGCTACAAAAGAGCAGGAGAAAAGGGTGGCTGCATCAGACCCCACTGATTAATTACTTAATGATTAACTCAGTTACTCAAATACTATCTACCCACCCACCACCAATTTCTTCCTGCAATTGTTTCTCTGTGAACATGGGGAGAACAGCGATAGTCCTCTGACAGCTGTGCATACTGGCAGCTCTGCGGCATAATTTACCCCCTACTGGGCACTTGGGCTATAAGCAGCACCAGGCGCCCTTCAGATACAGAGCCTCACAAGGCTTGACTATAACAGCTGAAAAGCTAATGCCTCAGTCCTATCTTTTTTCCCCTCAAAACTAGAGAGGAAAGAAATTGTCGAGGGGAGGAAACACTAAAAAAAATACCAAATTATTGTTGTTGTTGTTGTTATATACCGTCAAGTCGGACCTGACTCATTGCAAACCCTCCTTGGGTTTCTGAGGCAGTATCACTACGGATGTAGATTGCCCAACCTTCCTTCCGAGGAGTGGCTGGTGGGTTTGAACTTCCAGCCTTCTGGTTAGCAGTCAAGTGCCTTAGGCACTACGCTACCAGAGCTCCCCCACCAAATCATTAGTGAGGCAGAAACCTGAACATCTTTAAAACTCTTATACCTGAAGCAGGCTGGGGCTCAATTATACTTTTAGCACTAACTTGCACTGTCTGAATTTTTTTTTTTCTTGTGGGTTTTTTGTTTGTTTGCTTGTTTCATCCTATACCAAGTCTCCAAGATAGAAACACCTGAGCAGCAAATGTTCCCTACAAGGGAATGACTCCCTTTATGTCCGGATCTGTGGGGAGAAGGCAAGTGTGATTGTCAGGCTCAGGTCTCCCTCCCGCCTTCCTTAAGTACCTAGGGTCCTCCACTCTAAGGTGATTAGACATTCTATGCTTGTCAGTCTTAAGTCAAGACATAAAGCCAAAGCCAACAGAGATTTTTCGACACCAGTCATTGTTTTGGGGGGATTATGTGCTGGACAGCTGGATTGCTCAGTCCACTCTTCTTGCCAAAAGCATACAATGAAGGAAATCACCAGATCACCAACGTAGCCTTCAAATATATGGAGACCCACACACTCCCAACACAAAGGGGTCTTTGTTTAAAATGCAAACTTTGAAGTTTGAAAACAAACGCAGATATACTGTTTCCTGATGCTTGCTCTGAACAATGATACAAACAAGCATTTCCACAGATGCAGGCTAAAGAAAACAATCCAAACACAGAGGGCAGTGAGGGCAGCCCACTAACACTAATGCCCACAGCTCAGGGGAATCAGGTATGACAAGAACATTTCACCTAGCACACCTTTCACAGACTCGATAATATTACTTCTTTGGAAAAAGTGTCACAAGGTATTGGTAAATACATAGAAACATTAACCTGAGTCTTGGTGTCGATCTTATTTCAGACAAGAAGAATTCCTACTTGAGAATTATGCAGGAGAAACTTTGATCCTTTCTTCTCAAAACTAGAGAGGAGGGTAATATGCAAGGGGAAAGAGAATGTAAGTAAATACTAAATTATTAGTGAGTCAGGAATCTGTGCAGCTTCAAATCTCCTATGCCTGGGGCAGTGTGAGGTTCAGTTAGGTTGAGTCTTTAGATATAAAAAAAAGAGCAAATTTTATACAATCTTTTGAACTCTCAGAAGGTGGTTGCCTGATCTTTGATCTTATACTGCCTTCTGAAGGCTCTTGGGGATGCTGACCCAGTATGTAAGATAATGTAAATGAAAGTACTTTGCAAATTAAAAATTAAAATGCAACTATGAAGTTTCCTTCAAACATTGTCCATGACTTCTGCAGTAGCATCTTCATCTGAGCTGTTTTTGTCAGATGCCAGTGAGTCCGTTCCAACTCACAACGACCCCATGTACAACAGAACAAAATGATGTCTGGTCCTGCAACACCCTCACAATTGTTGCTATGTTTGAGGCCACTGACACCATGGGACTAGCAAAATCAATGTTAATGCAGTGAAACCTGTGAGAGTTGGAACTCGATGGGAATGGCTTGTTTTTCTGGGTCTCACCAGCTTTCCACCTTTGATAGGGTGTAGTCACTTTCCTATCACTCTCTATTTTAATGGAAAATACTTGAGTTTTCCTTCTCTGACAAGTTTCCACCTTACACAAGTTCCAGCTTTTGCACATTTTACTGTATGTTTCAAACTTAGGCTACGTCATATTACTCCAAGGCTTTTTGTTAAAATTCAGATTCTTACCTCCTCCACACCAGCTTTTTATTTTGAATAATTTCTTACTGACCTCTAAAATTCTGTTAAGAATAATGTTAATAATAGCTAACACTTATATAATGCTTACTTGTGCCAGACACTGTTCTAAGCACTTTATACATAGTAACTCATTTAAGCCTCACATCTTATAAAGTAAGAGCTAGTATCCCCATTTTACAAAGAAGGAAATGAGGCACAGAGAAGCTACTTGCCCAAGAACACACAACAGTAAGTGGCAGAACCACTTTCCTGAGTATTGAAGCACCTCCTGCTCATTGTAGAATGCCCTCTCCACTTTTCTGTATCCTAGCCACCTGCAAGTACTACTCAAGTCCTGCCTCCTTCCCTGGCATGAACACCAGAGCCCATGGGGAACTCAATGGCCTCATAATTCCTAAAGCCCTTTCTGTCACTGCTACTTATCTGGCTCTTCACTTATGCTGCCTTGTATAATTAGGTATATCTATATCTAACTAGACACACACACACGTACATATCTTAACTAGTTCTGAGGGCAAAAAAAAAAAGGGTCTAAAACGTCCTTACATTCTCCCCTCTCCAATGGCACCAAGCACAATGGTATCCCACAATATATGCGTAATAAAGCTAATCATTTATTCTATATATATTTTCTGAAGGGGTACAATATGATTGAAGCTCTGTAAAGCAATGGAGATTTGAGGTAAGACCACACTGTTCCAGTTATTGATTGATTTCGACTTTCTGAACTGAATTATGTACTTAAAAATGAAGACAATGGTTCATCCTCAACACTATTCACTCTATGACCAAGATATAGCCCAGAGTAGTACCATTTTGGCAAAAATACCCAATTCTCCAAAATCTGCTGCTGAGCTGCGAGCAAATAACATAGCAACCTCACAAAGGATGGTTTCTGAGTTTTAGAGAAGAGCTGATGTTTCTATCAACTGATATCAGGATGTCACTGTCCTTGGATTCTTTAGAGAAGAGAAATGTCCCCTCAGTGAAACAGACTGTCACCTGGAACTGGATTGGGAATCAATTACCTCTCATCAGAATCAAGTCCATCCACAAAGAACTCTGACACTAACTTCTCTTGGAGGAACCGATCCCAGCATTCCTTCTTGGCCTGGGATAGGGTTCGAAGCATGTCCTTGGAGGTCACTTCCTGATTTAAACCTTTGATTCTTCTCAGTTTCTTTTCTAAAGAGAGAAGTAGAACTTAATAGGGAAAGCAAATAGGAAACAAAATTTCAATCTAAGATGCAAAATGCCAACTTAAAATTTTCTCATTGATGAAGCATATCCACTTTCTCCGCAAAAGAGCTCATTTTAAAATGGGGATATATAGACGGGAACATTTTTCTTTTTCCTTCACAATGTTTCCACCCTATAGTGTATCAAATAAATGTTTAACCCCAGAAAAGGGAAAAGCCATAGGTTCTCATAAATAAATCACTGGCATGTTTTCTTTGAAATCACAGAAGCCCAGCAGGTATCTCCCTAAGGAATGCTTGTTTTCCCTGGCTTGACATGTGTATACTATCATCTTTTTCCAATTCCTTGAAAATAGTCTCTCTGAGGAGTAAATGATTTTTCTTTTTGTTACAGTGATATGAAGTAGTTCCCAAACCTTACGAGAAAGAACCAGAGAAAATGATGAGAGATCTAGTGGCTTATTAGACACTAAAACTGACTTGATGATAACGCAATAATAAGAGACCTTTAAGATTTCTATGTGTGATTAAATTCTTGATTAAAGAAAAAGAATCTCCTAACACTTTTTTTTTTTTTTTAAGTTGTTCAACTTCTGGCCAGGATGGTGGAGCCTAATAAAAACAAATGTCTTGCAATTCCTGTGAGAGTGGTCCATATGGCTTCCTGGTGATAGATGTTTAATTACTCTTTGCATTTTAAGTATTATGGACTGGAGAATACAAGTCCATAATACATAATACTTCTGAAGAACATAAGAAAGGGTTTCACCATTTACCTTTTGCTTTAATTTAGTCTTGCCCTCAACTATAATTCACAAGTAAATGATGGCTTTTTTTTGGGGGGGGGGGGGGGGGAGGCTGGACATCAAAGCCTAGAATCAAAAGAAACTGTTTTCATTTCGAACAAGCCACATGAGCTAGCATGCACTGATCAAAACAATAAACACCTTTTGTTGCTATAAGTTACCACCAGGAGCTCACTCATGTAAAAAAATCTATAGTTGATAAATATTTGAGGAGTTTTATTTTCTCCTTGAGGATGTGAAAAGGGTTATGCATGCCTCCATTTAAATGGCTTAGTTCTTAGCTATTGCCCTTACCAGTAAATTCTCTTTGAAACAGATTTATTTGGCAATACAAATAATCTTCCTGCTTTCTGGCCTCAGTTGTCAAGGCAGAAAGTACTCTGGGCTGGAAAAGGTCTTCCCCTCTCTGAGTGTATTGAGTCTCTGATGAACTCTGATATAAGTAGAGCAGGTAGAAATAGGAGCCATAACACATGCCACACCTGCCTGCCACTGTCTTCTATTCCCTGGTATAGGCAACAGAATTGCCTCTTATTTTTCTCAGAGGAGATTTTAATCATTGTAACTGATTTTAGAAAGGAGAAATAGAGTTTTAACCTTCAGAACTAGTCTTCACCAGTCAAAAACTATCTTCACAAAAGTTTTCTATAACCCCTGGGTACATAGCACCAACAAGCTAAAAGATATGGTTCTTCAGCTTTCTCAGAGTATTGCTTTTTCTCCTTATCATTAACAGATGCTCTGGCTACCACAAAACAGAATTTTCAAGGAGTGGGCATAGCTGCAAGCATTACTCGTACATCCTATCTTTGGTGTCTTCATATTACATCCTCAAATTTCACATTATACCTTCACCTTTTCGGTTATTCATCATTCTACCTGTATTTTTTTTGCTATCTTTTTTCTCCAGTACATCATTAACAACATTCCACACTGTTTTCCAAGACATTTCTTAGCAATCATGGAAGCTCTCTTGACTTCTTTCTGTCCTTCCTCAAAAACTCCTTGTTCTTAAATTGCCGTTACTTCTGCAAATAATTATTCCCAGGTTTGGTTACCCCCTGCCCTCTTTGGTTTTCTTCATTGTTCTTTGCTCTGGATGAGGAGAGACCAATTGTTGCATCTAGATGGCCACTTGCAAGCTTTTAAGACCCTAGTCACTACTCACCAAATCCAGGTTTGGTTTTGTGACACTCCCTGGGTCACTTAGATAGGTTCATGGATATTCAACAATAAAAGGATTTTTTTTCCAAATAACAGCTAACAAGAATTGGTCATCACTGTCCTAGTCTGACATGTCTCTTTCCCCAAGCATAGGACAATCTGAATATCTTTCTTGTATCTGGAGTCCCTCTAAATGCTTAAACTTAAGGCCACAGGAAAGAGCTCTGAAGATGTGTTCAGGAAATATTAAATAAATAAAATGGCTAACAAAGAGGCAAGATGAATTTTATTTTAACATGCTCCTAATTCAAACAATCTATTTCACATCAATCTCTTTCAAACTGTAGCAGCAGAAATTCATTGTAGCTCTAAGGGTATAACATTTTCTTTCAGGATGGCATAAGGTCTGACACTTTTGAGTTATCTGAATAAATAAATGGGCCACCAGTAGTAGGCAAGAAGGTTCTATAAAACACAAAGAAAGAAAGTAGAATTTAGATAAAACAGTCAGAGGCAAGAGATGACCGTCTGTTTTAAGGAATGTGCAATGAAAGAGTAGCTTCTTCTCGACAACCTAATTTGAAACACCCCCTAAAATTACATCTGAAAATATATGTGGCCAGGACAAAAATATTAAGAATAGAAAACCAGGCTTGATGTAACAGAATGTCATCATGCTTCCCTATAACCACCAATTTCTGATTAAAAAAAAAAAAGCCACCTAACTTACCTAAAAAAACTTGTGCCATTGAGTTGATTCCAACTCTCAGTGACCCTACAGGACAGAATAGAACTGCCTTATAGGGTTTCCAAGGCTGAACATCTTTACAGATGTAGACTGTCATATCTTTCTCTAGCAATCTAACTTACCTAGAGATGCTAAATATACTTCTGAATCCCGCAAGGGGGCCCAAGGCTGTGGAGATGGCTGGACAGCAAAGTCTGCTGCCTCCCTCTGGCCTTCGCCTGCAGGATAAGAATCCACAAAGGAGTCTGAGAAAGCGTTGTTGGCACCATCCTCCTGGTCAGGATTTGGCAGACAGGAACAGATTTCAGCCCAGAGATCCCGGCCAGATCTAGTGGCTGTAGAGTCAATGCTCTCAAACATTTTCATTAGGGATCTGAGTTCAAAAACAGAAGCTAACGTCAGCAAAGACTAGCTTTAAAGGTACAGTGTAAGTATGGGGTATTCAGATATTTATTTGCTTACCCCTTGAAGAAAGGTAATTGGCTCTTAAGTTTCTTTTTACACAATAGATTCATATGTTACAGATAAAAAGATGACCAAAGGGGAGTTTGGCTCCTCTTCTGGCTCTGAAATCATTTTTATAATGAAATCTGTCTTTAAAAACAGAATTTCTAGGACATTTCCAGTATGGACAAGTCTGCACTTTTCTCCAAAGATTTCCAGAATGCAACTGCTTTGTTCTCAACCAATTAAATTCTCTGTCTTCAACAGGGTACAGACTAAACGTCTGGAACAGTTCCTAACACATGAGGATAGTACAAGTGCTGCTTGGTAACAAGTGTGTTAGAGAAAACTGTCATCAGGCAACAGCCCATATGCTCATCACATACAGAAATTGGGCTACATGTCCTATGCTCTTGTTTTAATAGAAACACTGAAAATGAGCATTTTCACCATTTACAGATCAAGAAACTGAGGCTCAGAGGAGTACCTTGCCCAAGGCCCATTACTGGTACATAATAAATCCTTGGACGGAAATCAGACCTGTGCTACTCCAAAACCCATGCTTTTACCCAACAGAACTGTGTGAGTGGAAAATATAATGAAACCTTCCCAAGCATCTATACACACAGCCTAGGGGTTTTTATAACTATGTAGGCTTACGGGATGGGTTGACATCTTCTTTCAGAAGAGATCTTTAGAATCAGGAAAGCTGCCTGAGGCAAGGTCTGAATAATTCCAGGGGAGTTCAGCCAGCTGCAAGGGCCCGGAAGTAAAAGAGACTTGTCACCTCAGCCTTGGGTGAACTTAGCTAGGGGTCAAAACGAGCTCCCACCCTCTTCTTGAAGTCATTTGAATATATCCAAATCACAAGTGGACTCGCACCTCCTTTCCCCCCACGCAGACGTCCGGAACCGCGCAAAGAACCCAAGCGCCCGGACACCGGGCCTTAGTCATTCCGGCATCATGGTCTGGCCAGGAGGTATGAGGCCCTGAAACCTCTCCGAGGGCCGGGCTGTAGTGGAGAATACAAGTCGGCAGACACCGGGGCCCCTCCTCACCTACCAAAATCGCGGGTTTGCCAGCAGCCCGCAAACACCAGCCTCAGCTCTGTCGTTGGCAGAAGGAACGCAACGGGGAGGGGTGGAGTCTCAGAGTGACGGATCCCGAGAGTCTTCCAATCACCGTCCGAATCGGCGATGATTGTCCGTGGATTGGCCGAAAGGAACTGAGCTCGGTGAGGAAGTGAGGAGCTGAGAACTGAGACAGCGGTGGGCGGGGCTATTGTTGCCGGGAAACGGTGTAGTCACGGGGCGGAGTCCCTTCCCTCTGAGGTTGGGCTAGTACCAACAATATCGCTGGGTTACGTTCATACCGGTAAGGACCCCAACACCTCCCTGCTGGAATAAGGAAAACTTTGACATTTCTTGGTCCCCTAAACTTTAGTTTATCTGCTCGGCAATTCTCTGGGCTGGTGTTTGTCTCCGAAAATTTCACCCTGTCGCTACCCAAGTTACTTAAGCGCCTTGGATGGGTAAAGAAGCTACTTCTGTCCCACTCTCTCAGAAGACCCAAGTTCTTGGAGTTAGGAAATTTTCTCTCAGTCGTTGGTCAACATAAGGAGCCCTGGTGGCACAGCGGTTAAGCACTATGGTTAAGCTCCTAATTGAAAGATTAGTATTTGAACCAGCCAGTGGTTCTGCAGGACAAGACCTGGCAATCTGCTCCTGTAAAGATCACAGTCTAGAAAACTCCGTGGGGCAATTCTACTCTGTCACATGGTGTGGACAGATGGCACCTAAACAACAATAACAACAACATTGGTTATCAAGCTCCTGCTAGGTTCTACACATTGTTTTAAGCAGGAATTCAAGACAAATAGACTTGATGTTGACTGTGTGACAGTCAACATTTGATTGTGGGGATCACAACAAAATATGGAAAACATTGTGAAGAATGGAAATTCCAGAACAATTAACCGTGTTCATTCAGAATCTGTACCTAAGACAAAAGGCAGTCCTTGTAACAGAACAAGGGGATACTTCGTGACTTAAAATTGGAAAAGCTGTGCAAGGCAGGCAGTGGCTCCACGGTAAGTAACTCATGTAACAGCAGAGTTATAGAGGACATGATGGAAGTGTGGGCAGACTACATAAAGGAGTGGTCATGGGAGATGTGAGTCAGAAAGGCTTTTTAAAAGGAAATGAACTTTAATATCCCTCAGAGGATATCACCACATTCACTGAGACTCAGACACTTCCCCTTGCCCCCAACTTCCAAGGCAGGTTACCACCACAGAGACATGTGATGAAATGCATCAAAAAAAAAAAAAAAAAAAAAAAAAACCTCACTACCCTTGAGTGGGATCTGACTCATAGCAACCCCTCCTTGCATTTCCGAGGCAGTATCACTACAGAAGTAGATTGCCCAACCTTCCTTCCAAGTGGCTGGTGGGTTTGAACCGCCAGCCTTCTCGTTGGCAGTCAAATGCCTTAGGCACTAAGCCACTAGAGGTCCTGATATATAGATATAGATATATAGATATGTAAAAATCACACTGCCATTGAAGGAAAGTATATATACTCAACCAGTCTAGTCCTTCATTGAGATCATGACTTTCTGGCATCTGTATCTCCACAGCCAAGCAGTGTCTGGTAATGTTCAAAAAAATGTATGGTGTATCAATGTTTGTAGTAGGAACCTCATAGCCAGGGTCTATGCTGAACTAGAGCTAAACCTTGTGACTCATCCTCCTGTCCGTTCTTCATGCTGTAACCAGGGTGATCCTTTTGGAATGGAATGGAGATCAGATCACACACACACACACACACACACACACACACTTTCCCATTGCTATTAGAATACTTAAAGTCTTACCACAGTTAATCAACTAGAGGTCTTAGTTCAAACAACATACCTCATTATAGCTCTGAATCTCAGACTCGTACATCCAATTGCCTAAGCAACTCTCCACTTAGTTGCCTAATACACATTTTGAACTTACTATATTCAAAACCCACCTCCTGATCTTATGTTCCAAACCTGTTACACTCATCAGTCATCCCCATTTCAGTTAATCAAACTCTAAAAACCAAATTCACTGCCGTTCAGTTGGATCCAACTCATAGCAACCCCTCCTTGGGTTTCGAGGCAGTATTACTAAGGAAGTAGATTGCCCAATCTTCCTTCGGAGGAGTGGCTGGTGGGTTTGAACCCCCAGCCTTCTGGTTAGCAGTCTAGTGCCTTCGGCACTGTTCTGGTTACCTAGTACCGCTCTGACAAGAAATATACCACAAATGGGATAGCCTTAGTAAACAATAGTTTATTCTTATAATTTGGAGGCTTTGAGTCCAAGTTCAAAGTGCCAGGCTCTAGGGGCTGGGTGAAAGCCCCTCAACGTCGGGGTCCAGCTCTGCCTCCAGCTCCTGGTCCACTGAAGCTAGATGCGTTTCTTCACTCAAGACAGCAGCTGGCTGCTGAGGCTGAGAAGCCCCAAGGCTAACAAGTAAAAAGGCACAGTCCCGATGTAATCAAACCACACGGCAGGCCATTAACTTAAGTCCATTGTTAAGTCCCAAGGTCGGCACAGCATAGCAGGCTGCTGAGCAATGACACGGCTACATGCAGGGTCCAAGCATGCCATAGGCTGGAGACCATTCCCAAAGGCTTCTCCTTAAATACAAGAAGCAGACCACATCCCAAAGGCAGCTACCCAGCTGCTTGTGGTAGATCCCACCATGGAGCTGATTGCCAGTCTCCTCATGAGGATTAACTACCACCAGCTGCCCAGCCACTCAGTCAGGCCCAGCCAAGGTGACACAAAAACATAACTACCACAGGTACTATGCCACCAGAGCTCCTCTTCAGTTAATAGACACTCCATACTCTAGTCGCTCAGGCCAAAAACAGTGGAGTCAGCCTTGCAGGCTTTCTTTCTTTCTTCCCTGTGTCAGATGCCTGTTCTCAGAGGCCTTGGCTTACCTTGGTTTGGAACTTTTTTCCAGCCTGTTCTCCAGTCTTCTTGTGAACTCTGTGAGGTACTAATATCCGTTCAGTAATTCTCTCTCTGATGAAGTTAAACAAAGTTGGTTTCAGTATTTTTCCTTTATGATCCCTGACAAGTACATCTTCTGGTCTACGTAACAGTTTTCATCTTAGGATAGGAGCATATAGGAGGTAAACAGGAGGTCTCTAATCCTTCTCATGCTGTCAGGAGGAAGGGTATGTGTGACAATATAGCTTCTGGTTTTTTTTTTTTTTTAAATATATATAACAGTTTTACTGAAATATACTTTATATACCATAATATTTACCCTTTTTAAAGCATACAGTCAGTGTTTTTTAGTATATTCACAGAGTTGTGCAATCTTCACTCTAGTGTTTTCTTTTCAATAAATTTCCTTTCAAGAAATTCTCCAGATCCAAGAGATTTTGAGGATACCTTTATGGGATCTACAGGATCAACTCTTGCTACGGTTTTTACAGAGCAATCCCAAGGATTTCCTTTATGAAATAAGGTCTAATCTTACATAAATAGATCTCTGCATACTAATTTCCGGGGAGGAGAACATTTGCTTAAGACTGTCAGAAAAGGAAAGGATGAACTTTTGGTAATTCACGCCTACAGCTTCTCAACACAACTCACAGTTCCAGTCTCAGCGCTGAGCCCCATTGATTGGCTGGAGGCAAGTGACGTCTTCATATCGCGACCCAGGAGCGGTGACAGAGCAGGTTATGTGGCTGGTTGAGTGCCAGCCGCTGCCTTTTCTTTTGCATAGGTGCTTTGCGCTTCGTCGTCTCTGGTTTACCAGGACTTGGAGTTGTTGTAAGGGCCCCATGGCAGAAACACTCACGATTGGGGCCGAAGTAGAGGATGGGCTGAAGGCTCCAGCTCAGCAGAACGGAGATGCGGGGAGCCCGGAGGCGGCGGGCCCTGGAGTAGAACCCGCCCTGGGGAGTGAAGAGCAAGTCCTGGCAGCAGTTCCAGGCCCAGGAAAAAGAAAAAAGCGGCGAGGGGCGACTGGGGAGCGTATCGTGCCGCCCCCAAAGAAACGGAGGGCTGGGGTGAGCTTTGGCGACGAGCACTTTGCAGAGACCAGCTATTACTTTGAGGGTGGCCTGCGCAAGGTGCGTCCCTATTACTTCGACTTCCGGACGTACTGCAAAGGCCGATGGGTGGGCCACAGTTTGCTGCACGTCTTCAGCACCGAGTTTCGAGCCCAGCCTCTGGCCTACTACGAAGCTGCGGTCCGGGCCGGGCGCCTGCACCTCAACGAGGAGCGGGTCCAGGACCTCGGCATCGTGCTCAAGGTGGAGTCCTGATCCGGGTTGGTTTGGAGCGGAGAAGAAACGGGGATATGTTTTTTTTCTGGGCTTATTAGGGCATCGGTACTGAAGTAAAACCCTGGGAATTATGAAGTAGCCTCGTTTTCACTTGGAACACTCTTGGCAAAAACAGCCTCTCTGCGTCAAAACCCCAGTGCATTTTCCGCTTCCATCAAGGTGGCCTTCCTTCTTTCCAAGGAAGAGCAGTCATTGTTCCCCGTTGAAATTCTCATAGCTCCTTTTATGCACTGTCTTGTGGTACCGGTACTGCTCACTTTCTACCTTGCATTGTAAAGATCTCCATACAAATAATGATAATTCACTGCCGTGGAGTCGGATCCTCCTTGGGTTTCCGAGGAGGTATCACTACGGAAGTATATAGTGGCTACCATTTATGTCTCCTCACCTTGTGCTAGGCAAAGAGTTAAGCATAAAGAGTTATGTACGTTAAACATGAACTCATTTCATTCTAATGACAACCTTGTGGAGTAGGTATTGCACCCCATTTTGTCTGGAAGGTAACAAGGTCAAAGAGATAGTGACACCTCCAAAGCCTATGTTCTTATAATTATTACTCAACCTACTGTAGAGCCTGGTATGTAATAGAATTGTGAGGTGTCAGGGATAATGACTAGAATGGTCAAGCCCAGTGTTTTGGTCTTCCCTTTTTTATTTTAAATTTTATCACATCTAAGATATACTTGTCAGTAATACTGGCTCACTATGGATGTGAGGAGAAACAAGCAGATTTCAGAATATGAGGAATGGATGGTTTGAATCTCCTTTCCCACCGCAGTTTTGAGAACACAGGTTGCTCTAACCCTCAAGTTTTACAGATAAGGAAACGGAGGCCTAAAAGACTTGTCTCGGGCATTCAGTGAGCTTGTGACAAATCGAGGTCTAGAGTCCAGATTGGTGGATTTATGGCTCTGTTTTCATTGTTCAAGGTCACAATAAGTGGTGATTTATGGAGTTTTTTTCTTTTTTTAAAATTTGACTTTTAAAATTTTATTTTATTGTAGAGAATATAGAAATCTAAAAAAATCCATAATTCTATCACCCAGAGATATCACCATTAATATTCTTATCACCAGAACTCTTTTCAATGCCTGCTATCTGTCTGTATGTCTGTCTATATTTTTACAAAGTGAGATCACACTACACACATGGCTTTTTCTGCTTAAGGATGTACTGTGAACATTGTTTCATGTCAAGAAGTGTATCTCTGTGACATCATTTAGCTGCATGGTGTTCCATCCACCTCTTCGTGTATACTTTTAACGTTTGAGCCAGGAATGGGGGAAGCTGGGTGTGATGCTGTGTGAATCCAAGCTGCTGGCTCTGGGACTGACTGATTGCCTGTGTCTTTGGCAGGACAATGACTTCTTGCGGAACACAGTGCACAGGCATGAGCCACCAGTCACAGCAGAGCCTGTTCGCGTACTAGCCGAGAACGAAGATGTGGTAGTTGTGGACAAGCCTTCCTCCATTCCTGTCCACCCCTGTGGCCGCTTTCGACATAATACAGTGATCTTCATCCTTGGCAAAGAGCACCAACTCAAAGGGCTACACCCATTGCATCGGCTCGACCGACTTACCTCAGGGGTGCTCATGTTTGCCAAGACTGCTGCTGTCTCTGAGAGAATTCATGAGCAGGTTCGGGACCGGCAGGTGAGCCAAGCTCTTCTACTATAGCCTTCTTCCTGTGCTCACAAATGCTGTGTCAAAAGGACATCTCTGAGTTCTAGAAGTGGGTGCAGAAGGTCAATACCTAAAGTGCCAAAGACAGGTTAATTATCTACTATGTTTCAAAAGATCTTTAGAAATGGTATACACTGCCTCTCTTAGTAGTTTGGAGAAAGTAAAAGTTCTAAAATGCTGACAGACTGAGCAAGGTTTGTAAGATTGTGGGGAGAACCTGGTTAGTAAAGAAATTCTGGGTGAAGTTCAAGAGGCTGAGGTAGGAGAATTTAATAGCAGTGATTGAGGTCTTAAGGCTCATAATTCAGAATCTGGATTGTAATATATTCATTGAATTTTTATTGTCTACCAGTCTTGGTGCCAAGCACATATGAGACTAACTTACTCAATACTTACTAGAGCCCTGTGAGATAAATCCTTTTCTAACTTCACATTTTCTAGATGAGTGAATGCAATTTCAAGAGGTTAAATAATGATCGTACAATGGGCAAATGGTAGTGCTGGGTTTGAATCCTCTTCTTTCTGACACTGGTGCATTCCTAATCACTCTTCAGAGAGCTGGGCTCCAGGAGTTTAGACTTTATACTAACTTTCTCCCTATTCCTTCCTGTGCAGTTGGAGAAGGAGTATGTGTGTCGAGTGGAGGGAGAATTCCCCACCAAGAAAGTGACCTGCAAAGAACCCATCCTCGTGGTGTCTTACAAGGTTGGGGTGTGTCGTGTGGATCCCCGGGGCAAGCCCTGTGAGACGGTGTTTCAGAGGCTGAGCTACAATGGCCACTCCAGTGTGGTACGGTGTCATCCACTCACAGGCCGCACACACCAGATCCGAGTCCATCTCCAGTTCCTGGGCCACCCCATCCTCAATGATCCTATCTATAACTCAGATGCGTGGGGCTCCTCCCGTGGCCGAGGTGGCCACATTCCCAAGACAGATGAGGAACTGCTACGGGACCTGGTAGCAGAACATCAAACCAAACAGAGACTGGATGTACTGGAGCTCTGTGAGGGCGACCTGTCCTCAGGACTCATAGATTCGTCAGTCCCCACCTCAGAGCTGGGCAAGGACAGCCTGGAAGAATTGGCTACAGCTGCTCAGAAGATGGATAGAGCACTTGAGGTGACCCCTCAAGATCTGGACACACTGGCCTTGGCAACAGGGAACACAGCTGAAGCAGATGTTGTGAATCAGGAGACAGACCCCCTCTGTGCAGAGTGCCGGTTGGTGCGGCAGGACCCCTTGCCCCAGGACCTGGTGATGTTCCTACATGCCCTGCGCTATAAAGGGCCAGACTTTGAGTACTTTTCACCCATGCCTGCCTGGGCACTGGATGACTGGCAAGAAGACTGAGAATTATGGTCAATGAAAAGATGGCTTCTTGGGTTGGGGCAGAGATGGGCCACAGAGGCAGGGGCTGACTCCATAGGCTGGTACTCAGGGTCACTGCAGGAGGGAGGTTGGGCCCTAAAGAGACTTGCTTATACTAGTTACCTCCTTCCTTCCTTCTAGCTAGAGTTTGGGGACTTTTTTGGTTTGTAAATACATTCCTCTTTTTAATAACTCGTGTCTGGTTTTCTTGCTTGTTCTTTTTTTCTTTTTAATTGCAATAAAATTCATATGGCAAAAATTAATCATTTTAAAACATACAAGTCAGTGGCATATAGTACATTCACAGTGTCATGCAACCACTACCTCGATCTAGTTCCAAAACATTTTCATCACCCCAAAAGGAAATCCATATCTGCCAAGTTTTCACTCACCATTTCCTTTCCCCCGTGCCCTGGCAACCGTTTATCTGCTTTCTGTTTCTCTATATTTTCCTATTCTGAACAGTTCATATAAACAGAATAATGCAATATGTGGCCTTTTGTGTGACTTCATTCATTTGGCATATTTTTGAGGTTCATCCATGGTGTGGCATGCATCAGTACTTCATTATGGTAGAATAATACTCTTCTTTTGGGGGGCGGGGATAATATTCCATGGTATGGATATACTGTTTTGTATATCCATTGGTCAGTTGATGGACATTTGGGTTGTAATCACCTTTTAGCTATTATGAACAATGCTTCTATGAACTCTGATGCACAAGTGTTTATTTAAATATCTGTTTTTAATTCTTTTGGAAATATACCTAGGAGTCGAATTGCTGGGTCATGTGGTAATTTTATAGTTAGCTTTTTGAGAACTCACCAAACTGTTCATAGTAGCAGCACCATTTTACATCTTTGTGGTGGTCTCTGCTTTCAGCCAAGATCCAGCTGACCTCAGCAGATGAATTAGCAGACCTTTGTTTTATATCCTTGCGGTGTAGTAAATTACTTAGTGTGGCTTTTCTACCCATAAGTCTTTGTAAACTCCAAGGTGGGATTTTCTATGAGCAACTGAGCAGCTCCTTATTGCTAAAGTTATCCACCTGGGTTATTTCTGTTGGGCGTGGCACAAAACAATGTTCTGGGAGGTGCCCACTCTCTCTCACATGCTTAGAGTTCTGATGCTGTGATTCGCTAGTTTGACCATCCTGCCGGGCTCAAAAGGAGGCCTCCGAGAGGCAGAACTCTCTCTGATTGCTGGTGGAGGAAGACGTGCTGCTGAAAGAGACACGTGCCCCTGAAAGAGACACGCACTGCTGGGAAAGAGACGCAAGAGACATGCATCGCTGAGTGAGACACCGAGGGACCAGCACTGCTGGGAAAGAGACTGTGAGAGACTGTTGGCTGAGGGATTGTGGGCTGGGAGAGAGACTGAGTGTTCTTCCTGAACTTGAGTTGTAGCCTGGTGCTTCCCTAATAAACCCCGTAATCCGTGAGTTCTGTGTGGCCACTGCAGTGAATTATCGAACCCAGGAGAGAGGTGGTGGGTGCTCTGGGAGGAACGGTTGGAGAAAGGACTGGAGGGAGGCAACATGTCTGGCCTGGCAGTAATAGGCCTTGGGTTACTGCTGGTAATCCTGCCTTCCCCTTGTAGGGTTAGAGGAGGTCAGAACATGTGGCCTCCTTGTCGTTTTTGCAATCCTCTTCTGAATTCAGCTTGAATTTCTAGCAGTTTGCTGTCAATAGACTGTTGGCAACGGTTTTGAATTACCTCCAGAAAAACTTTACTTGCATGGAATAGTAATGATTTTATTTGATAATTTCAAATTATATTGAATTATCTTTGCTAATTCTTCCAGTCAGTTGGCTGTCTTCCAGATTTCTTGGTATATAGATGAGTTAAGCACTCCCAGCAATGCATCCATTTGTTGAAACATCTCATTGGGTGTTCTTTCAATTCCAGGAGCCTTGTTTTTTGCTAATGTCTTTAGTGCAGCTTGGACTTCTTGCCTTAGTACCATCAGTTCTTATTCATATGCTGTCTCTTGAAATGGCTGAACATTGACCAATTCTTTTGGGTTCAGTGGTTCTGTGTAGACCTTCCATCTTCTTTTGGTGCTACCTGCTTAATTCCACATTTTGCTCATAGTTCCATATGAGCAATTGATGATCTGTTCTGCAGTGAGTTGCTGATGATATTAAGGTTCTCCATCATCTCTTTCCACAGATGTAGTTGATTTGATTCCTGTATATTCCATCTGGTGATATCCACGTGCATAACCACGGTTTCTGTTGAAAAAATGCACTTCCAATGAATAGGTTGTTGACCTTGCAAAATTTCATCATGTGATCTCCCTCATCATTCTATCACCATGGCCATATTTTCCAATTACTGATACTTCTTTGTTTCCAGCTTTTGCGTTCCAATCACCAGTAATTATCAATATATCTTGATTGCATGTTTGATCAATTTCATACTGTAGAATTTGGTTAAACTCTCCAATTTCTTCATCTTTGACATTAGTGGTTAAGTAATATTTGAATAATAGTCGTTAATGCATGTTAAAAATTTAAGAAGAAAAGCTTTGTAGCTCATTCTAAATGCTAAACCATCCAGAATCAGAATTGAGGCAAAATTGTAAGGATTAAGCATCTTAAAGTCCTGCATCATAGACTGAAATAAAGGTTGCCTCTGTTATCTGCTAGATTATATCCAAAATGATCATTGAAAACAAAACGAAAAAAAACCTCATTGCCCTCGAGTCGGATCCAACTCATAGCAAGGCGGCATCACTATGGAAGTAGATTGTCTAACCTTCCTTTTGAGGAATGGCTGGTGGGTTTGAACTGCCAGCCTTCTGGTTAGCAGTCAAATGTCTTAGGCACTTTCAGTGAGTACTAGCAAACTATTGTCAAACAAGTATTTAAATTTTTCTTCAGATGTCAAGTTTCTGTATCTTTCAAAATTTTAAAATCAAAATTCTAAATCCATAACTACATTAGTTATCAAGAGGAAGTTGGTAATTGAGATGATTTGGACTTTTTTAGTGGTCTGAGTCAATCACTGAGTATGCTATCATAGTTCAGAATAAATTCAGCCTTTGTTTGTCCATCAGTAATATTTCTAGGCATTTATTGAAGGAATTTGACCTACAACTGATAAATATAAATCAAAATGTTCAGATAAGAATATTTGAGAAAGAGCCTTAGGGAAAGCCGCAGTGGGGGGGGGGTGTTTCTCAGAGTCAATGACCTTTTATTTAGCCTAAAGAAGTATACTTCTTTTCTTTTATTTATTTTTATTTAGCCTAAAGAAGGCATTTGACTGCTAACCAGAAGGCTGGCAGTTCAAACCCACCAGCCACTCCTCGGAAGGAAGATGGGACAATCTACTTCCGTAGTGATACTGCCTTGGCAACCCAAGAAGGGGTCGCTATGAGTCGGGTCCGACTTGATGGCACATAACAACAACAACAAAAAAAAGAAGGATATGAAAACCTTACTACTGCATAGTATCACAAGCAAAAAAGGAATTACTGCTTCCATTTCAAATGCAATGGAATCATAGGTCATAGCCTCAGGTCTTGCCTTCACCGGTTAACTTCATCCACTGGAGTTGGGTTTGACCCCATTTTACTTTATTGTAGAGATTTTAAATGGAACATGATACTATCTTGGGCATTACTTCTCTTTATTGTGAGCAGAAGATATAAAACATGGGAAACACCATCAAGTGTTATTCCCCGTTTTCTCTACTCTATTGGCATTTACGTATTCCTTTTATCTCTCCTAAGCAAGATTATTCTGGCAGCATAGTGCCTAAGGCACTTGACTGCTAACCAGAAGGCTGGCTGTTCAAACCCACCAGCCACTCCTTCGAAGGAAGATGGAGCAATCTACTTCCGTAGTGATACTGCCTCGGAAACCCAAGGAGGGGTCGCTATGAGTCGGGTCTGACTGGACGACACATAACAACAACAAGCAAGGTTACTATAGAATTCAAACCAAAAAACCAAACTCACTGCTATCAAGTTCATTCTTCCAACCATGAGCCTTTTGGTTAGCAGCCAAATGCCTTAACCACTACACCACCAGAGCTCCTTACCATAGAAGTGGCTTTCAGTTTTTGCTCTATTGGTCTTTAATATGAAAAAGTTATTTTATCTTCAGCTAAGTGGACATTCCCAGAAGCTGTAACAACAAGTAGAAGTCCATACATGATAGCCTAAGGCTCATGGCATGGTTTGAGCAAAGAAAACTGTCTGGGGTTGGTGTTGCAGACTCAGACTCTAAGACAGCCTGGATTCACTCCTGAGCTACTACAGACCTTGTCATGGCTATCTTCCCAGAGAAGGTTCTCCACTGGGGTCTCAGTTCCCAATGGCAAGGAAGAGACTGAACTTATTTCCATCACTGCATGCTTCTCAAAACCAATCTTTTAAAGTTTTGAGCCTAGACTAAAAAATACTGCTGTCGAGTCGTATTGGTATCATTATGGAAGTAGATCATCCAACCTTCCTTCCGAGGAGTGGTTGGTGGGTTTGAATCTCCAGTCTTCTGGTTAGCAGTCAAATGCCGTGGGCATTATACCACCAGAGCTCCCTAGGGTCTTGATTTTTTTCCCCCCAAGGGTTGAAAACAAACAAACCAAACACCTGCAGGCACACCAAAATGCATTAGACTTAAATTCCACCTTCAGAGCTATGTCATTTAAGGGTTGTTGACACATAAAGGCCTGTCTGGGATGCAAACTATCACCAACTAACACACTGGATAGTTTTGTCCAGAGTACCTCATTATCAGGAGAGATTGGATCTTCCTGGAGCTGGGCCAGGAGAATGAAGACACATAGTCCAGGATGGTACTTGTGAGGAAGAACTCCAGTGTGGATTAAGAATTATTTCTTTGAGCTGTGGTTTGTTGACGAATTTAGGGCTGTGGGGGATGTGGGTATTGGAGATCCTTCCCAAAGTAACAGCCTTTTCTATAAACCTACTTATCTTGTCCAAGTCCTACCGTTTCGGCTTCTCCAGTAGAGGGCGCCTCTCACTCTTTTACTGCTTTAGTTTCTAAATTCCTTTTCCATTACAAACTCTTTTTTCCCCCTGGACTTTTAAATTATCTAGTACATTGTTGGGCAATCTACCTCCATAGTGATACTGCCCCGGAAACTCAAGGAGGAGTCGCTATGAGTCGGGTCCAACTCGATGGCACATAACAACAACAGTATGTTGTTGATTCTTT